CAGCAGCAGGAGCAGCAGCAGCAGGAGCAGCAGCAGCAGGAGCAGCAGCAGCAGGAGCAGCAGCAGCAGGAGCAGCAGCAGCAGCAGCAGCAGCAGCAGCAGCTGCAGCAGCAGCAGCAGCTGCAGCTGCAGCTGCAGCTGCAGCTGCAGCTATTGGTGTGGAAGATTGGCAGCTTGCAGAGTTGCTGCCGGGAGAAAAGCTAAGGACCCCAGAGCCGCAGCTAGCCACAGCTAGCTACAGCTAGCTACAGCTAGCTACAGCTAGCTACAGCTAGCTACAGCTAGCTACAGCTAGCTACGGTTGGCCACAGCTAGCTGTAGCTAGTCACAGCTACCCACTGCTAGCCACAGCTAGCCACAGCTAGCCACAGCTAGCAACAGCTAGCCACAGCTAGCTACGGCTAGCCGCAGCTAGCCATACCTAGCTACAGTTAGCCACAGCTAGCTACAGCTAGCTACAGCTAGCTACAGCTAGCTACAGCTAGCTACAGCTAGCAACAGTTTGCTACAGCTAGCTACAGCTTACTACAGCTAGCCACAGCTAGCCAGAGCTAGCTACGGCTAGCCACAGCTAGCCGCAGCCAGCCACAGCTAGCTGCTCTCGAGGATGGGCCTTTTTGCTGCTTGTGAACCCGGGGCAGCTAAATGAGACAAAAAAGATAAAAAGAAAAACAAAAAAGGAAATGAAAACAAAAAAGAAAATAAAAACAAAAAAGAAAATAAAACAAAAAAGAAAATAAAACAAAAAAAGAGAAAAATAAAAAAATAAAATGAAGCGGTTTATGGACCTGCATGCATTTGCCGCAACTGGGGTGTACGTACACCTCAGCTGCAGCGACAGAGCCGCTGCAGCCTAAATCTACAAGGGCCCTGCTGCTGCTGCTGCTGCTGCTGTTGCTGCTGCTGTTGCTGCTGCTGCTGTTGCGGTGCTGCTGCTGCTGCTGCAGTTACTGTGGCGCTGCTGTTGCTGCTTCTGTTACTGCAGTGCTGCTGTTGCTGCTGCTGCAGGCGTTACTGCTGCTTCGCTGGAGTGGCTGTGGCGCTGCTGCAGCTGCTGCAGCTGCAGCTGTTGCTGCTGCTGCTGTTGCTGCTGCTGCTGTTCTGCTGCTGCTCCTCCTTCTGCTGCAACAAACTACTAAATTTTGAATTAAAAAATAGCAGCAGTTAATTACACTGAAAAATTGAGGAATAATAGTGAGACGAGCAGCAGCAGCAACAGTATCAGCAGCAGCAGCAGCAGCAGCAGCTGCAACACAGGGGCGGCAGCAGCAAGAGCAGCAGCAGCAACAGCAGCAGCAGCAGCAGCTTGAAAAAAGAATAAAATAAATAAATTTTAAATTTTAAAAATTTAAAACACAAACAGAGGAAGATTGAGCTGCAGCAGGAAAGCCGTGGGGCCCCCCAGCTCGATTAGGGTTTAGGGTTTAGGGTTTAGGGTTTAGGGCTTGGGGCCCCGAAGCCAGCCGCAGCCTTCTAGGCCCTCGAGTGGCTCTTCGCAGGACTTTAGCCTATTTGTCTGTAAACCCTAAACCCTAAACCCTAAACCCTCGAAAACAACTCCAATAATTGAAGAGGTGAAGGGCGGGAGCAGCAAACTGCAGCAGCAGCAGCAGCAGCAGCAGGGTGTGGGGCCCGGGGGTTTCTTTTGCAGATTGTTTTCCAAACCCTCAAATGAATAAATCCTTTTAAACCATTTTATTTCTTTTTTTGGCGCAGCAGCAGCAGCTGCAGCAGCAGCAGCAGCAGCAGCAGCAGCAGCAGCAGCAGCAGCAGCAGCGTGACGGCGATTGCGCAGAGTCCCTGCTGCGACGTCGTGGCTGTGGGGTTCAGCAGCGGGAGAATTTGTATAATAGATTTGAAGAAAGATGATTTGCTGCTGCAGTTCCAGCAAGCAGCAGCACAAGGCCCCGTTGCTGCGCTGGCCTTCCGCAGCGACGCAGCAGCAGCAGCAGCAGCAGCAGCAGCAGCAGCAGCAGCAACGCTGCTAAGCGGCGCCAGCAACGGGGACATTTGCGTTTGGGGACTGCAGCAAGGCTCTCTTTTAGGGACTATTCCAGAAGCTCACAAACAAGGAGTGACTCGCATTTTCTTCATGCCCGGCCAGCCCCTCATGATCACTTCAGGCAGGGTTTAGGGTTTAGGGTTTAGGGTTTAGGGTTTAGGGTTTAGGGTTTCGGGTTTGGACGGGGGGAGGGGGAGGCTGCGCGGCGGCCCGCGGCCGCAGGGGGACTAAGCCGCGGCCGCTGGGGGGGAGCCAGGGCTTAGGGTTTAGGGTTTAGGGTTTAGGGTTTAGGGTTTAGGGTTTAGGGTTTAGGGTTTGCGGCGCAGGGAGAGACAACGCACTGGTGGAGTGGGTCTTCGACAGCGCCGATGGAATCCCGAGGGAGTTGAGGGCCCGCAGGGGCCACGTGGGGACCGTCACGCACATGCAGTTCTACAGTAGGGTTTAGGGTTTAGGGTTTAGGGTTTAGGGTTTAGGGTTTGGGGTTTGGGGTTTAGG